GTGGAAGCACAAGCCCACTTTTGAAAGTGAGCTAAGAGGGCCTTAATTCCCAGAGTTAGACACCAACGGACTAAGGTTCACAAATCACTCCTACATAGAAGGATTGAATACATGCAGCACAGCTTTGCTTACAAGCCCGGATAGCTGCAGAAGTCCAGGAATGGGCGATTCTGGTTTAAAAATTCAGAGCGGCCCAACATACAAAACCTTGGCCAAAGTTTTGCCTCACAGCTGAAATTTTCAGATGTGAAAATGTTTACAGGGGAAAAAATGGAGGGAGTAGCCAGGCCAGCTAGACCAATTATTTGCAGATGTTACCTTTTAACTTAGATGACTTGAAGAACAATGCAGCCTCATACGAGAATATCCCGTATGTGGCCCCAAACTTATGCCACACTAGTAGATTCAGACATAAATATTTCACCCTGAACGTATGTTGTTCCCATGCACGTGTCAGTGGATCAGCTGTGGCACTCCTTTGGAAAGGTGCAAAGGGACTCTGTACAACGGGCATGTAGAATGAGCTTAGGAAAGGAGCAATGGGTGCTCTAAATGTGGCCTGCTCCTGTTCTGCCTTTCACCCGAGTAAATCGGGTACAGCGTCAACGAAGTCACTGGAGTTAAAGTGGTCTAACATAAATGTAAGTGAGAGGGCAGCATGCAGCCCTTATGTGCTTAGCAAGTGGAGATAACATGAGTTTATGCCATAGTGATACTGACAAAGGCCGTGTCAGCCCTTGAAGCTGACCCATGTTTGGTACCAATGTCAATTACAATTCCCCGCCTCATCCAGGGCCAACCTGTGTTTAAAGCTGATGCAGAAAGCGTTGGAACGAGGCATCAAACACACCTGTGCAGTGGGTGCTGACCATGGCTTGATCCTCTCCATGGAAAACACCACACTGTGTTCAGTCATAAGACTGGTTGTCAAACGCAGCTCAGTTTCTACGGCAGATAGGGCCAAACACTCTAGCATGCTCAGACATCTGAACACCTAGATTTCTGGTCTGACGGTAGCTTAGAACTTTTACCCCATAGAGAACAGAATCCTGGCTTAATGTGTCTTGTTTGGAGTCCAGCTGCTCAAGTAGAAACTGAGAGGCACTGATTACAGCCCAGACTATTCAGAGTGTGTGTGATTATTTATGCAAAGGCATTGATGAAAGCCTATCCCAAAGGATAGATTTCTAAAAATCAGGAGTTTCTCTAAGTAAGACAAAACAAGGCCTGATTGTCTCATAAGCAACCGCCCATGTTGGGAGGGATAACGTCTGTTTGTCTGTCTAGATACGCGTTGTGGCACCCATCACCATAAAATCTCACTGCTATGGAGGGATCAGGCAGCATTCAGGTGGTCAGACCTGAATTACGGAGGGCAGCATGCGCTCCTCTTCCCTCCCACACTGGCTTTATCTCTGCTGGCTGGTACAGAGAAGGGACCATCTCCCCAACAGCTGTGGAGAATCTAGAGCTGACTGTGGCACTACAGTCTTGCGTTCAGAGCCCACAAGGACTGTGTCTATACCTAACTCCAGTATAGGGGTGGCAACTGGGTGGGAGACTCCTTGTGCCTGCTCCTCCACGTAGGGTGACCAGATAGCAAGTGTGAAAAATCGGGACAGGGAGTGTGTGTGTGGGGGTTTAATAGGAGCCTATATAAGAAAAAGACCCCAAAATCAGGACTGTCCCTATAAAATTGGGACATCTGGTCACCCTACATGTGCATCTAGGAAGGGTAGTACATAATCTGCACCAAAGCCTCCAGGATCATGTACTTGTAAACAGCGTCACAGAGGAATTCACAAAGAGGATGAAATTTGAGTCCCCTGTGTAAAGTCCAAGTTGCCAGGTAGAACCTTTCCCTTGCATCACAGAGGCAGGATGCAGAGCAATCATAACACTCAGGTACTATAGCCAATGGGTGTGGTTCATTATACCTATTATGCAAAGTTTGTGGCTAGGCTCCCATGGAGCCATGCAATTTCTGGACTCACCACCAACAACCTGGTCACACCGTGTAGTCCACTCATGGATCACCCCTAATCAATCTATGGAGTGGCCCAATGCAGAGCCAAGCTACAATTTGGCCCTTTGGAGGCAGGGGGAGGGATTTCACCTTTAAACTCAGGTTCTCCTAGAAAGCCCAGTGGTCTCTGTGGGTGGCAGATGAGTGGTGGAGCCCAATAAAACAAAATTCAATTGTTGCTACTTTACTTGGGCCAAAGGAAATGTTCTAACGTAGTGGAGACTCCACCAAGTGAGGGCTGCATTGTGTATGTTCCTTAGTTCCTGTTTTAAGAATTCAGAGTAAATAAATTAAGTAATTCTGCAGGATTTAAAGATCCCTGCAGTTATATAATCAACTTTATGTTCCACCCTCTTGCCTGAATGAAGGAAGGTTGCTGAATTAGGATGATGAACACAAGCTTCTGCATCAATTTCCTGGTTGGGAATTAACTGAGGTTACGCTAATGAAATCTCAGAACGTGAGCAATCAAGCTACTATACTTGGTAACGTAACTCTTTGTATGAGCAAACAAAATTAATCCACTGGGATCACAGTTCCCTGGTAGCATGAGAAAGTGCTTCCTATTCATTCCTTCCCAGTAAACGAGAAAATAAAAGGAATTCTTACTCTCATATGTGCTCAACAGGAAATGGAAGGAGAAACTTCCTTTACTTGTATCATCCATTTCTACCACTGTTACCTGCACACATGGCAATATTATTAAAGAATTACTTCAGCAATGGGGTTTAATGCTTCTCATTGCTAATGCAGGCTGGGCAACGACACAGACATATAAGGGATTACTGTCAACAGAACATGTTGCCATGCAGGGAAATTAAACAAGGACAAGGGGAATGCTTACCACACACTTAATGTAATTCCAAGTCAATGTCCTTTCATCTGTGCCAATATTACTAGCTTATTACTCCTTCACACGCCATTCAGTTTCCTTGGATATTTATGACTTTGTCAGATCTCCTTTATATTATACAATTACCAATGAATATTCGTAGGAAATATGGTTTACAGCTTCAGAGGCATGAGTGTATGTACAAATTTGTTGTTAAACCACAGTGTCTGGAGGGTAGGCGCGGGGAAGGAAACTGAATTACTTCTGCACTCAAAATAAGGGATGGTTCCTAAAGCCCAGACAGCACTGCAATGGGAATGTAGTACTGTATGAAAGTATAGTGGGTGCCATTAAAATCTCGATGCTTGCTGCATTGCGGTGTTTGCCTTTGCCATGATAATGTAGACTCCCTATTCTAAGAATGAGGAGTGCTGCAAACAATATGGTCACTTTAATTAGTGTGAAAGGTAAAACCCGTTTGAAAGCAATCTTGGTATGTCAGCTGCAGATTGAAATATCACACACATTCTCTGTATCACTACGAAGTAAATTTGTATTTTGTTTTTGAATCAGCATTAATAGAATGAGATCCATTGTATGAACTGGGTACTTTTGTGTATGAATACAGCCCAAATCAAATTGTCCTCTGGATTTAGGACATTTCCCTAAATGTAAGTATTTTCCCCAAGGATAATAATCCATCACCTCAAAGTCTACAGTTTGGTGAACCGAGTGCTGTAAATAGAACCATGAAACAATATTACACAACCATGGTTCCCCAATTAACACATGATTGCTTTCCTTTCAGTTTAAAGTCATTTGTGAGAGGGATTTTCACCCATTGTTAATGGGAAGAGCTGAAAGCTGTTAGGCACGTGGAAGAAAAACAGAATGTAATTTCTAATGAGTCGGGAGTTTTTGAGTGCCAGACATTTTTCATTAGGGATGTTTGTGAAGACCATAATGTGGTAGAAGGACATTAGCCAGAACTGAGCCACAAACATGGTTTGTTGCATTATCCTATTGCTGGAATTAAAGTATTCGTGATTATGCTTCAGTTATTGACTATCTTTGCATGTGTGAATGGTGCCCAGGCTGATAACTTGGATGCTTAGCTATGTTGACAAATGAATTTAAGAATAACTGATAAAAAACAGAAGGCCAAATTCTGCACTTAGTGACACTAGTGTAAATCTGGAGTGACTCCTTGGGCGTCAGCTGAGCTACGCCAGATCCACTCTGGTGTCACTGAGACCCATTCGTGAATTCTAAGTGTAGGCTGGATACTACTAATGTTAGTGCTTGTGTGACTTGGACAGGTTGTGTAGGCAACTCCACTGAACTGGGATCAAATGGGCGACGTTGTGATATTCAGAGAGAAGAAAAGGCAAGGTGCAGCAGGGAATCAACTTAACTCAGATGAAGAGGCAGCGTAAATCTGAACCACATTATTAATGAGCACACAGATGTCTTAAGGCAGGGACAGTGCCACTTTCTATAATGTTAAGCACATTGATGGCACCTTATAAATAATAATGATCTGTGCGCCACAAGTTCAGAGCTTAAGGTAATGCCAGGTGCATTAGATGTACGAAGATGGTGAGAAAGAAAAGTGAGATGACTAGAGAGATAGTGAGGCAGAGAGAGAATTAGCAAGACAGCTTTGAAAATCAGAGAAACATTTTCTGAATATAATTCTCCGTGTCACTGATAAATTGTGCACATAATGGAGTGAGTCAGGGTAACAGAAACTTAAAACAGGCTGCATGTTTCTGAATAAGTGGATATCACAGTACAGAGGAGTCTTGGAGGCCAATGAAAAGACCTTTTACAAGAGTCAGAAGTGGGGCATTTTCCGAAGCCTCTAGGTAAGGTTTGATAGCTTGTGTCTGAGAGATCAAACACTATATATGTATATTTCACCTCTGATAGTAAAAATATATATATCTAACCAGGTCATCACCAAATGAAAGGACATTTTGTCTTGTTCCCACATGAAAATGTATGATGTCAGAACTTGAAATCCAAGAACAAAGGTGCTCATGCTACACTAAGTCACATAGATTCAATTCAGCATGCTTCTTTTCTCCCCCATCCTCTTCCTGCTCCTCAATTATTCTTTTAAAAGTATTTTCCCCCTACCAATAGTGCAGTGCTCTCCGTTCCAGCCCGGGCTGCATTCACATTTGCCATCCCGACATGTCCCGTGCTCATTACACCGTGGGTGACACGCCCGCTGATCACAGGCTGCGCCCATCCATCCCTCCTCGCAGCGGCAGGTGCCTCCGACACAGAGGCCGTGTCCTCCGCAATCCGCTGCACAAATCTCTGTGGGAGAGGAGAAAAGAGAGGGGGCAGGGTGCGGGGGGAGAAATCCAGAATGTTATTGTTAACAAAGCAGCCACACTTCACTACCTCGCCTTACGGGGAATGAAAGGAATTCCTGCTGCTCATAACACTAATCCTTTCTGACAATAAGAATCTAATAAGTAGATTAGAAAAAAGAGACGGACATGGATTGCAGAGGTCTGCTGCGATTGATCCTCCTCTTTGCTTTCGAATTCTATCACACTCCACAAGCTTTTGTGCTGACCACATCCAAAGGGGAAGGCTCTTCCAACAGACGGAATAAAAGTCAAATTTAATTAAAAACTGGTTAAGTGTGAAAACAATGCACCGATAAATCACTGGTGATAAAGTTAAGTGCAGGCAAAGTCTATTTGCAGCTTGTTAGCCCATGATTCTGGGGCTGTGATTCATGAAATCACCTCTTTTATTTTTGGTTAACATTAATAAAGAACATTTTTATGTAGGTTTTCTCTGTGAGGGAAGCCAGGAGTCGGTTTTACCACTCCCTCATTAAAAATCCCCTTCCAGGCATTGAGGGGCCTATATTCTTATCTGATGAGATTTATGGTCTGCTGCTTGTGGGGCTGCTAGGAGTCCTCAACGTTCCCTGATGTCACTGGAAGCCGAGGATGCTCAATGCCTTGGCACTCGTCTCCTGGCAGGATCAGCCCCTGCAGGCCCTATCTGTAGACATATTAGGTGCCCACAGCAATCATAGACTCTGGTGAGACTTGGGGTGCTTGGCATCTCTGAAAATCTAGCCCTAAAATCCTAAAACCTGGCCCCTTTCACCCACATCTTATTTTATTATTGGTCTAGGGAAAAAGGGCTGGAGGGGGCCAGACATCCATGACACAGACGGTAAGTGCCTATTTCTGCTATTATCATCGGAGACTGGCTCACAGGAAAACAATCAAACAAACCCCAAAGTGGCATTACACAGCAGATGAAATTAAATGCATCCATTGCTGCTTCACCAGACTCTGGAATGGTCAACTGACTTCTTACCTTCGATCTGTGTAACACAAACCTAATGACACTCTCCCCCTTTCAAGGCACATGTGAGTTCAAATACCTTGACTTCTTCTCAGACTAATGACTCCCTCTACTCCCTGGCAGTTCTGTACAGTACATATGAATGGGGCTGAATCTGCCCAGCAGTTCAGTATTTAACACCCGCTTAGCTGCTGTCCATTTCAAGGGACACAAGACTCTCTGCTATTATCCTCACGGAGTGGAGAGGAAGGAGGGCATAGGGAGAGGGGACAGGAACATTTTCCCTTTCAGTGCGTCCGTGCAGAGCTGGGCAGAATTCTAGCCGAGTACTCGACAGGCAGGGCAGTGGCTAATGCACCAGTTAGCATGCCACAGCTGAGAGGGGAAGGATCAGCTTGCTCGGGGTGTCATGAGGCCCCCGCAACCCTAGGAATGTATGCTGCTAGCAGGCACTAGGAACCGTGCATGACACTCTCATGTTAAGGTGCAGTAAGGTGCACTACAGAGCACATTTCCTTCCCACCGCCAATGCCATCCTGTTCTGTCCCACCAGGGTGGCTAAGGAGCCCAGGTTGGCTTCAATCTCTCCTCTTTTGTGTGCCTCAGTATATTAGGGGCAGGATCTAGCCCTAGACGTTTGTGGGTGAGGAAGGGGTTGGTATTATACGAGCCATTTGCTTCAGGTCACTGACTGCACATAAAACATTCAGGACTACTCAGCCTGCATTAACATCACACCTGACTGAAATTCAGCCTTATATAAGCTTGCCTTAGTCTTTTTCTAATTAATACTGCCAGTGACAGGGATCTTCAGACATACAGAGACTTTGAGGCACTTCTGCTATGCTTGGTGGGGCCGCTGTGTTCATTTTGATTTGGAGAGGGAGATTTGGCGTGTCCATAAAGCCAGCCAGCAGGGGTTTTACGACCTTACAATTAAATGGACCCTTTCCTTCAAGGCACTCAAAGATCTTTACAGAGAGTAATTACTGTAAGAAATAATAATACTTAGCCCTTGTAGAACACACCTCATTCTCAAAATGCCTTACAAACTTTCCAGCTGTTTGCCACACACTACAATGTATGTGTTTGTAATCGTTTCATAAGAACATAAGTATATAAGAACGGCCATACTGGATCAGACCAGTGGTCCATCTAGCCCACTATCCTGTCTTCTGACAGCGCCCAGTGCTGGCCAGATGCTTCAGAGGGAATGAAAAGAGCAGAGCAATTTATCGAGTGATCCACCGAGGATTGGCAATTTTGGTTGGATGTATTCCTGGAAGTTTGTCACATGACGTAATTTTTAATTAAACATTAATCTTTAATTCCAGGCCAGTCCTGGAGAGTTGGCAACCCTAGATCCACCCCTTCTCCTCCAGCCAATTCCCTTCATTTCAGTCAGTCACAGCTCCTTGAACTCTTTCTGCTGAATCATACAGACTTCAATTTCTAATAATGTACTTTGGCTACAATTTTCAGAAGCACCAAAGTGACTCATGACCTTAAATGTCATTTTCAAAAGTGACTTAGGGCCAGATTTTCAAAAGTATTTAGGAGCCTAATGATGCAGGTAGGTGGTTAGTGGTGCTTAGGTGCTTTTGAAAAGCCCACCAGGAGCCTATCTGTATCTTTAGGTGCCTAAATACCTTTAAAATCTGGCCCTCAGGAGTCAATGGAACACAGGCTCCGAAGTGCCAAAAGCCCAGATTTTTAAAGGTTTGTAGGTTCCTGAGTCACTTATGTGTTTTTGAAAGTTTTACCCTTTGCGTGAGGAATTAACAAATTGATTCTCTCAACTCCCATGTGGAATTGTGAGTATTGTCACGTCACTGTACACACTGGGAAAATGAGGCACAGACCAGTTAAGTGGCGCACTTCAGATCACCGGGATAGCTGGGAACAGAACCCAGCAATCCTTATTTCCTGCCCCCTGCTCTCATCAGCAGACAACACAGCAACGAAACTAGGCCTATTGGGGTATCATGTGATTGCATTGGATGTTCAAATTAACTAATGTCGGAGTCAAGCTGAGCACCTGCACTGGAAAAAGTTGGCTCTCCTTGGCTGACCTGTGAGATGATAAAGTCTGGGAGAAAATAAAGTAAACAGAGGAAAAACTAAACAATTTATGTCAAAGAGCCCTCAACCAGAGGAGGAGAAATGCCTTGAGACTGAAGAAGTTCCAGACTTTTTTGCATTTAAGTCCAGGATAAGAAGGCAATGTTACATGAGCCTCTGGTGCTTTTCCCCAGGGCTTAGCGAAGGGGTTGCTCCAGTCCTAGGTTGAAATGACTCATCTGATTATGAAAATTCCCCCTGGGCTCTATCCTACAAGAGGCTGAGCACACTTTACTGCCGCTGATGTCCTAGGGATGGATGGCCTAGTGGATAGGGTCTGGGACAAGGTCTCAGGAGGTTCAATTCCTGGCTTGGCAACAGATGATGGGCATGCTGCTTTCTTTCTCTGTACCTAGGGTTGCCAGGTGCCCAGTTTTCAACCAGAACGCCCGGTCGAAAAGGCACCCTGGTGGCTCCAGTCAGCACTGCCGACTGGGCCGTTGAAAGTCTGGTTGGAGCTGCTGCAGGGCTAAGGCAGGCTAGTCCCTACCTGTCCTGGCACTGTGCTGCACCTGGGAAGTGGCCAGCAGGTCTGGCTCCTGGGCGGGGGGGAACAGGGCTCCGTGCGCTGCCCCTGTCACGAGCACCGGCTCCACACTCCCATTAGCCAGGAACGCGGCCAATGTGAGCTGGGAGGGGGGCGGTGCTGCGGATGAGAGCAGCGTGCGGAGACGCCTGGTCCCCCCCAGCCTCACCCCAGAGCCCGGATCCCCAGCCAGAGCTCTCACCCCCCCCGCACCCCAACCCCTTTGTCCCAGCCCAGAGCCCCTCCCACACCCTGAACCCCTCATCCCCAGCCCCACCTCAGAGCCCGCACCCCAAGCCAGAACCCGTACCCCCTCCCTGTACCCCAACCCTCTGCCTCAACCCGCAGCCCCCTCCTGCACTCCAAATTCCTCAGCCCCACCCCCCAGCCTGGAGCACCCTCCTGCACCCCAAACCCTTCATCCCTGGCCCCACCCCAGAGCCTGCACCCCCATTCCAGAGCCCGTACCCCCTCCCATGCCCCAACCCCCTGCCTCAACCTGCAGCCCCCTCCCACATTCCGAAATGAAAGTGGGGACAAAAGGAGGCTATTATGAATCCATCTTGAGAAACTGATAAGAGTTATTTAAAGGTGTGAAACTAGGGTAAAGGTGTGACACTACAAAAAGGGTGAATTCAGATAAGTGTTAGGAAAAAGCTCCCAAAGGTGAATCTCTGTGGACTAAGTCTTCTGTGAAAAGGGGAGGAAGCCCCACTGCTTGGGACATTTAAATCTCAACTGGAACATCCACTAGCACTGTAGAGAACAACTCTGCAGTGGCAGGGGCATGCACTAGACGATCTGAAACAGTGGTTCTGAACCTTTTCTACACCTTCTCCACATAAGAATCCCTCCAATCTAGCTGGGATCTAGTCAGAGCAAGGACAGGGTGGTTGTGACCATCAGGTGGAGAACCCATGATCTAATAGACCTTCTCCATCTCTAGTGTAAAAAAGCCAAATCCACAATGGAATTTTTCTAGGTGAGAATTTGGCCCTAGATATCTAGGATTCTAGTCCCAAAGAGCCCTAAATAAAGAATCTCAGCTGACAATCTATATCAATACCTGTGGGAAAAAAAGATACTTCAGTCTCATTAATGTGTAATTTAATGATTCTTGACAAGGAGAGCCAGGCATTCACCAACCTAAATCTTCCATTTAACAGCCAGTTTAAAAATAGCTGTGAACTGTACGATTTAAATAGCCGTACAGCACACAGCTTGCCACACACATCAACTAGCCCTTTATAACCTGGTCTTCTTGTGCTCACAGGTGTCTAATAGATGATTAAAAGCCGGAGTAGCTTTTATTTTTATGGTGGGACTCTGAGACATG